TGGGGGGGGGGGGGGGGTGGATTTACAGGCATGAAATATTTGTTTGGTAGCAAGTCCACGAGTCAGCCATGCAGTTTTATTTCTGTCCCATTTGTTCACTTTTCTTTCCACTTCTTCCACTTTTATTCTTCCCTCTAATATATATATACATACATACATACACTCCATATATACATACAACCTATATATACATATATACATACAAGTTATAGGATCCTAAATATTGAAATTTCCAGCTCTGGAATTGTTGCCCATACTCGTGCTAATTAACACAATTAATGCATATAATTATGAATAAGAGGTCACCTTTGTGAATTGTGATTGACTGTCTTCCATATAATCATTTATTACATTTTAGTACTATTCCTAAAACAACTCTACAGTTGACTCCTTAATTTATTTATACATCGTCTCTATTATATTTATCTTTTTTTCCAAATTTTGAATCTATATATACATATATATAAATATATGTGAAAGTACGACATATATTATATTGTAGAGATTGCTATATATATATTATTTGGTTGAGAATTTTAATTTACCAGGAAATTAGCTAGAGTAATTTGCAGACTGTGATATATATATTGACGATAGCTTACACGAAATCAAGGCGATTTCGACGAAGAAGGTTTATTTATTTATTTATTTTTAAAACAACCAGTACTGCATTTATTCTTACATGCTTTAGCACACATGTATAGGCATCTTCAGCATTAATGCTCGAAAAATATAAATAACAATTTAAGTTTTCTTTTATCTGTAAGTACTCGACAAGAGTAATTTCCGTAAAAAATGTCGATTCACCAACCTACACAAGTTAATGCTCCGTTAACGTTTTCCACACTACCTATACGTACAATACAACCCCTTTACACACACACACACACACACAAAAAAAAAAAAAAATTAATAGAAAAAAGTGTGTGTGTGTGTGTGTGTGTGTAGATTTTTTAACTATTTTGATGCATGGCCCAAAAGGGTTTATTTGCATGTATTTGGTTTTAATATAT